AGATGGTGGTGCGTATGCGGCAACAACACCACTAACACCCGTGCCCACTACCGCATTACCCGCAACAGCAGATTCATTTTTTGCGACGACTTTACCTTCGATTAGGGCCATAAATGAAACCACGTCTGACTGGTTAAGAAATGACACTTCCAGATATGCCAAAAGGAACTTCAAGTCTAAAGTCAATGCCGACGATTCGATATTTTTACGTTTCGCCAAACGTTTTACCCACGACAATAATCTGGTGTCCGGAATCATTCAAGAGTGCTATCAACGGCCAACGTTTGCCTGTTTCCAAAAGAATGTCTACGTTTATCTTAACGAGGTATTGGATGCGCAAGATGTGAACGTGACACAACGTTTAAAGTTCTATCGCAACGATAATGTCTACGAGGAGCAGGCGGAATTGGCAGATGAGGATATAGCTGAACCACCAACACCGCACACCACACAAGCATCGGCGGCCAAGGATTCCATGGAGGACGAGGATAATGAAATACCACGTGAAGGTCGTTCCTTTGATGACGGTAAGTCTGCCCTCCCCATAACCAAAACCCCTTTTCATTTCCCATTTTTCTCTTAATTATGATAGGCCGTCTATTTTTCCAAATAAGTTGCGATTTAAGTTTTGTTTATTTACAAATAACCGTTATGCCCATCTCAGATAAATAAAACCAAGCGAAAACTTTCACTAATCTCTCTTTCAATTTCCAGACATGTTGAAACGTTTACACGAAACGCTTACTCATCATCTTTTGTCCATATGTCGGGATGGAATGTTTTTTTTTCTTTGTATTATTTTTTTTATATTTGATTTCCAATCGTCGTTTTATTAAATGTTTTCATTGGGAATTTTTTATGGGCTAATGTAAAAATAGAAAGAAACCGCAAAAAAAGATGAAATTGAAAATCTAGGTGAATTGCACAAGGAAAACGATATTGTAAAGGTCAGGCAAGAGCAAATTGTGGTGGTGATGATGATGAGTGTTTCTTTCATACGTACATGTACAATTGATTAAATTCTCAACGCAAGACATTAAAATCGCATTTATTGGGGTTTTATATAACAAGCGTGATAAGCGTTTTTGGTTAGACATCAAATGGTTATTACATTTTTTATTAAAAAAGTTATATGGACGGACATTCAAATATAATTTGCACCGAAGAACAGGCATAGCCTGAAGTAATATTAAACACACACTGATGATCAAGAATACGATTTGGATATTGTATTTTGATCAGAGTCGATCCATTGGTGTCTAATAGAATTAAAAATAAAGTTTTTGGTGTAGTTTAAGGGATTCGCCCTAAATTATTTATACCCTCCACCATAGTATGGAGCGTATATTAATTTTGTCATACCGTTTGTAACTCATCCATTTCCGACCCTATAAAGTATATATTCTTGACCGGGGTAAAATTCTAAGATGATCTAGTCATGTCCGCCCGTCTGTTGTAATCACGCTATCTTCTGAAGGAATTGAGATAGGGTACTGAAATTTTGCATAAGGTTGTCATTTGTCTGCAGGCAGGTCAAGTTCGAAGATAGTATATATAGGTCCACGTTTAGGCGTTGCTCCCATATAAAGGCATTTTGGTTTTCTTGAGCGCGTTTTCAACCAAATTAGCTGATATTTGGTAAATTGGTTCTTATTGGGTACTAAATTTCACCACAAAAAATAATAAATATAGGTCCACTTTTCTGGTAGACCCCATATAACGTAAGGTTCGATAATGATATATATATGAAGTACAGCCCGCATTTAGGTTTTTGGTATTTTTAATATTTAGCGTAAAGAAAATTATTCAGATGCAAAAATGTTAGTTTCGACAATTAGGCCTCAATAGTCCTCAATTAGGCATAGCACCTCATATAATGATAATTACAAATGTTCGGTAATTTCTACACGATGTAATCAATATTGGTCTCGCTTAAGGTATAGCCTTCAGGGACGTACACATACACATAGATTTTTTTCTGCAATACCAATTTTCATATTGAAACAGTAGCTTCCACCCAACCTTCCGAAATAAAATCTGGGTAAGTTGGTGATGGCCTCATATAACTGTGTCCTCTAAATTGCAGTTTTTTGGAGAACATCCCCTACCATGCGTCGGCAATATCGGTTCAAGTAAAACCAGTAAGAAAAGTAATAAAGTCGGATGGGGCCGACTATATGATATCATTCACCACTTGGGTATATCCAACAGATGAATCCTAACAGACGTCGCATTTTTTAAGTAAAATTAAATTGGATCCATAAAGATACTAAAATTTTCATTTGTTCAGATATAGAGTTCCTTCTTACAATGGGACAAAATTATGTAAATCAATTTAAAACAAATATTAATCGGACACCCGTTGATTATTTGCATAAATATTTAATAAACATGAGGGGTCTGGTGCACCATTTACTTAAAATCGGACGAAAATATATATGAAAGCTATATCGAAATCGAAACCGAACCGATATCTAAATCGGAACCGATTACTACCAAATTAGACAAACGTTAGGCTATACTAATTTCAGCATGTTGTGCAAAATGTTGTACCAATCGGAAACACCTATAGTGACTTTGGTACACAATTTACATAAACTCGGACGAAAATATATATATATATATATATATAATTGAACCGATTTTCACGAAATTTAACACACATAAATTATAGACCTAAATCATTGGGCTATGCCAAATTTTGTGCAAATCGAAAGAAATATAGGGACTTTAGTGCTCCATTTAAATAAAATCGAACGAAACTATATATGGGACCTATATCTATAATTGAACCGATTTTCAAGAAATTTAACACACATTGTTATGGACTTAATTCAGTACGCTACGCCAAATTTTGTGAAAATCAAAGGTATATAGGGACTTTGGTGAACCCTTTACTATAAATCGGACGAAAATATATATCGGAGATATATCTAAATCTGAACCGATATTCACGAAACTTAGCACACATCATTTTAGACTCAAGTCAGTATATCGAAAGATATATAGGGACTTTGGTGCATCATTTACCTAAAATCGGACGAGTATATATATGGGAGCTATATCTAAATCTAAAACGAATCGAAACTTAACACCCATCGTTCTAGACTCAATTCAGTACACTATGCCAAATTTCGTGGAAATCGAAAGATATATAGGGACTTTGGTGCACCATTTACAATAAATCGAACGAAAATATATCGACGCCTCCGAACCATAGTATGCTAAGTCTGAAAAGTGAGTTTTTCAGTAGAAGCTTTCAAAGTATGGAAGTTTCTTTATTCTTACGTGCAATGCTAAGTACATTTTTGCTTATAACTTTGGTTTGGATTGACCGATGATTACCAAAATTTCAGAGAATATAAATTAAGGACCGTAGTATCTAATAACGTAAAGAACATTAAAACATGCTAAGACGACTTAGCATAATATGGTTCGGAGGCGTCAATATATGGGAGCTATATCTAAATATGAACCGATTTTTCCCAATTTCAATGGGTTTCGTCCTTGGGCCAAATAAATCAGCTGTGCCAAATTTCTTCCAATTCGGACCATAAATGCGAGCTGTACTTTGTTTACAATTTAACATAGACAGACGGACGGACATGCATAAATCGACTCAGAAAGTGATTCTATTGGTACATTTGGTTCTTATTGGTGCATTGGGTTTGTATCCATATACTCGTGTTCCACAATAGTAGGGGGGATATTCTGTATTCGAAAACATGGAATTCTATGACGATTTTGCCAATTTATCCATTTATTTTAATCATTCTACCTTCGAGATAAAAAACTAGAACGTCAGGTTTGAGAATGAACTACATCGATCCGCATTTAGACATAGGCCCCACTTTTAATATTTAGCATGAAGGAAGGAATTATGATGCAAAAATTGTAGGTTCGAATTTGATCCTATACCACGCAGAGAATACACATGCCACTGCTGGCATGTTTAATTGATGATCTTAATTGATGATCCCCTTTCATTCTTAATAGGTTTTGGTAGCTATAATAAAGCCACTTTGTCTTGCGCAAAGTTTGATCAACATGCCTACAGAAATCAAACTTAATATAAATTACCACGCCAAGTTATTTGATTCGGTCAGATTTGCGTATAAGTTCTGACACGATACTCAGGACAGGCACACACGACTTGAAGGCTTCCCTTTAAATACTGCAGCAGTACATTTACCAACATTTAGAATAAGTGCTTAATTTAAAGGCAATGAAATAAATTCACAAGGTATTATTGTGGGCTATGTCCAAAAATTGGAAATTGTATGCCAAGAATATTTCTATTTTCCAAAAAAAGAGAGCTAAATACTAAACAAATAAAAACGACGGTAAAATTGACCCATATCGGGGCTATCCTAAAAAGTGGACCGATATCGATAATTTTGGTAGAGAGATTTGTTATCAAATGGGAAGACAAAGTACAAAATTACAGCCAAATCGGCAAAAATACGAGACCAAACTTCCTAAAATACCAAATATTTATGAATGCACTTATAGAGGGGTTACACCAATGCATGGACCAATATATCCAGTTTTCAATACCAAACATCCTAGAAGTAATAGCACTATATGCGCAAAATTTCAAAGTTATATTTTAAATATTGTGAGATCTATCGTGATTTCAACAGACAAACAGTCAGACAGCTATGCATACATTGACATTGAATTTTATTCTGACCAAGAGCATTTTTATTTTAGTTTTGCTTGCAATACATTCAGTGATCATCGCTTTTACGCACAAAATTCAAGTAAAAATAATTCCATCGGAGCACGGCTAGGATTCGAACCTAGATTGACAGGTCAACACTAAAGTTGCCAGACCACCTATCGTTCTGAACCATCGATACACTTCCAAAGGATGCACCAAAAACATGTGTACTCCATGGGAGCAATTTTAGGTGCGTGGATTAATTATCCATCCCTACTTTGAAAAGTACAGTTTCGAGAGTGAAGACCAATGTCGGACATTGGTAAATTTAAATTTAATTTGCAGATGCAACTTCGCATTAACTGCGATATAAATACATGTTATCAACATACAACCTTTTTAAAGCCACATAGCCAAATATGCCTGATGAACCCCATAACCAAAGACGAAACGCGTCGCATAATGGTGGTATGTAGGTTCTTCCCCTTGGTCTCCTTTTCATTGAAAAACTTCGAACTTTTGACGTGTTACAAACGAAATGACACATTTCATATAAAAGTAATAGAAAAGGGGGTTGGACATTTATATGCGGTCTATGTCAGAATATCGTTGGTTTGGTTGGACCAACAATATATTCACTAGCCCGTATATATGAACAAGTGAAAACATGGACTTATATCGAAAATTTTCTGCTAAGAAGTTTTCTAAACTCCAAGAACCTAGAATGACAAATTACAGGTACATCGGATGAAAAATGTTTTTCTTGTATTGTAAATTGTCTTCCAGGATTTTCCTTATAACCTTTGGGAAAGCTAGGTACAAATTACAGACCAAAGCCGGACAGGGTCAACTATGATTGTGAAA